GTATGGTTGGTGCGGTGGCAGGGCAACGTGTAGCGATTGACTCACGCACGGAGCAACTCTTTGTGTGATCCGCAAATTGTTGTTTAAGGTTTGTGTGTGTTTGAACTTGTATGTTTGTGAACGCACACACGACACAGGAGAAAATCCTGGTGCCCAAACTACGATTTTTTTGAAATCACGTTTAACTCGTCGAGTACCGGTTTTGTAGACACAATTATAGAACAATAGGTTGCGGTCACCGGTGACCGCTTGGTGTTTGACAGTTTAAAAGCAACGTTTTATTAAATAAATAAAAAAGGTGTGTTATTGATTGCAGTTTCACGGTTTAATAGGTTCTTTATCAGAGGGCACTGTTACCCCTCTCTCGGTTAAATGTGTAGTCCATTTAGTCGGCTATCGTCAATAGAGATAACTTCTTTTCTTTTTTTATTTGAAACTTCATGACACAGTTTTATATTACAGTTTAGGTCGCTAAAATAAGCAGCAGTTTGATGCCGAGAATCGTTCGTTTCTTTTAGTGTCTAGACAAACTTAATTTATTTAACTAAAAAACTTATAATAGACACAAAATAAAATATATTAAATGGTAAATTAACTCAATTATTTTACTTTGTCTTCACAGCATGATAATCCGTTGGAAAAGCTGCATCATCAACAGCCTATAGGTGGCCACTACTGACCAAAGGCCTTTTCTCTTTTTTCTTTTCTTTTCTTTTCTCTTTTCTCACACAGAAAAGGTTTAAGCATTAACCACCACTCTTGCTCAATGCAGATTGGCTCCTACTTACAATTACAAATTATAAGTTCAGGTTTCCTTACGATGTTCTCCATTACCATTTGTCAATGGTGTCTAAATAATCTAAGAAAGTACATATAGGTAGCTCGGAAAAAGTCACATTGGTACTTGCCTTTGGTAGGTTCGAACCGACACCCTCAAGCATGAGAAGCGAGCGTCTTAAACCTCCGGGAAACTACCTATTCATTATTGCGTATTGCGTAAATACATTAACATGTACCATTACTTACTGAGGTGAATAATCTAATCTACCTCTATATACATATTATAATGTATTGTATCACTACATCACTACATAGTATAAAACGAAATCGCTATCCGCCGTCTGTCTGTCCCTATGTATGTTTAGATCTGTAAAACTACGCAACAGATTTTGATGCATTTTTTTAATAGATAGAGTGATTCTTAAGAAGGAAGGTTTATATGTATGATACACGCATATTGCACCCGTGCGAAGCCGGGGCGGGTCGCTAGTTAAAATATAAATATTACATATTATATGTACATGTATCTTATCTAAATGGTCTACAGCGGATGGCTAGTAACTGGTATAATATACAGATTAGACTATTTATTCTTTTAACTGAACACGTGATGAATTTAGTGAGTGTTAGATAATTATCTTTGATACGATTTTTAATCAAACGATTATAAAATAATATTTTACATAATGTTTACTGTTTTATTGGCCGAGTGGCCGCAAGTGTGACTGCCAGGCAGGGGGTCTCGGGTTCGATTCCCGAGTTCCAAAGTTTTACTGGGTTTGTAAAACATCTCAGTAGTAGCACGGCGTCTGAAAATGCGATCGGTATATGGCAATAGGCTCGCCTCCTATTACATGGGACTCATAACATAAATAGTGAAAAGTGGCTGTTACATTGTACAGTGGCATTAAGTGCCGTAATGTGTACCTCTGCCTAACCCTTCAAGGATGAAAGCGTGATGTTATATATGTATGTTTACTGTTTTACAAAAAGGCCATTTAAATCATCAGCCTCCCTTAACATTTGTATCTATAAAACTTATTATTTACGTCATTAATGATATTAGTATTTGATAAGCGTTATCGCCAACAAAAATTCATCATCTGTGATTTCAACTGTCCAACTATTTATTAGCTTCAGTTACCCTGGTGACAGAACCATAAAAATTACCTACATAGATTATTTTCTAGTAAATTAAATAATGTGGTCACCCTCATCTTCCACACGAGCGAGCATCAAGTCTGCGTGTGCGCATCTCCGTTCATGTAGAAAGTATTCAGCGCACCGGTCCATATGTGTGAACATGTGTGCTATTTACCCACCCCTGTATATCTTGTATCTTTTATATTAAGGCATAATTATCTTTATACTGCCTCGTTGGCCGAGTGGTCGAAAGGGCGACTGTCAGCCATTGCAAAGTTTTACTGGGTTTGTAAAAACCTCAGTAGTAGCACGGAGCCTGGAAATGTGCCCGGTATATGACAATAGGCTCACCCCCTATTACATGAGACTCATAACGTAAATAATGAAAGTGGGTGTTACATTGTACAGTGGCATTAGGTGCTGTAATGTGCACCTCTGCCTACCCCTTTGGGGATAAAAGGCGTGATGTTATGTTATGTTATGTTATCATTATACCTGTTAGGTTGTCGCGGAGAACCTAACGGGTAACCGGGGCTCCGGCTCGACGTGCAGGAGAAGGAACGGGGTGGTTTTTAGTCAGTAAGAGTCTGACACTCCCTCCGGCCTCACCCAGGCGGGGGCAGTCATTCGATGATTTTCCCCCCTTAAAAAAAAAAAAAAATACCTGTTAGGTTTGAAAGAGTGGAGTACTAGAGTAGAAATAATCACACTTTAAAATCAAACTTATTATAAACGTGAAAGTTTCTTTCATTACATTCAAACAAATGTTTATTCGTCAATCACGCTGAAACTACTGAACGGATTTTGATGAAATTTGGTATACAGGCTGGGTATGGGCTGACTTAAGTGCTGATGAAAATGCTCCAGTGGGATAAAACAGGAATCATATTCTACGTGGACGAGGTCGCGCGTAACAGCTAGTAATAAATAATCTAATCACAATATACATGGGGACAGTGGGCAGCAGGTCAACCTTTAACCCGTTTATATCAAATTTGTTTATTGGATTTTCAATTGTATCGTTTAGGTATAAAGTTGAAAATTTAATGACAGAAATTGACACATAAGGGTGGGTGTTGGCCATTATATACAGTTTTTTAAGGAAACGTTGCCCGACACTAACGGTCGCGAAGAACCTAACGGGTTACCGGGGCTCCGGCTCGAGACGTGCAGGAGAAGGAACGGGGTGGTTTTTAGTCAGTAAGAGTCTGACACTCCCTCCCGCCTCACCCAGGCGGGAGCAGTCATTCGATGATTTTTCTCCCTTAAAAAAAACCACTAAGATTTTCTCCTGTGTCGTCGGTGCGTTACAAACATACAAGTTCACATACACATCACACTCAGACCCAGAACAACGATCTGTAGATCACCCAAACAGTTGTCCTGTGCTGGAATCGAACCAGCGACACGTTGCGTCGACAACAATGCAGTTGTGGCATTAGCGGTTGCGTACCGTGTCCTGGGTTTGATACGCGCACGAAATGAGATTTCTTTGTTCTGGGTCTAGATTTTAGATGTGAAGTTAATACATGTCACGACACAGGAGAAATCCAAAACTAAGACGTTTTTTTTATTGGAATGGAAAGAAAAGAAAATAAAGATTTCTCTATGCTATGCTACCTCTTTTGGATAACAAATAGCGTTAATTATATTTTTTTACTACCAAGAGGTAAGTTAATAAATGAACGCCTGCGGATAAGTGGCTGTGGAATTGTCAGGACGCGGGAAATTGCTATGTGCGTCTTCATTATGTAGGTACCTACCTAATATGACATTTCGTCCACAAAAAATAGAGTCACTCTATTAAATCATACATAACAACACGCCTCTTATCCCCGAAGGGGTAGGCAGAGGTGCACATTATGCCACTGTACATTGTTACACCCACTTTTCACTATTTATGTTATGAGTCCCATGTAAGGGGTAGGCCTATTGCCATAATTATTCCGGGCACAGTTCCAGACTCCGTGCTACTACTGAGATTTTTTTTAAAAACCCAGTAATACTTTGCCCGACCCGGGAATCGAACCCGAGACCCCTTGCCCGACAGTCACGCTTGCGACCACTCGGCCAACGAGGCAGTCTCATTAAAGAGCACTCTATTAAAATTAATATATAATTTAAATCTTGAGTTATGGCGATAAATAACAATGCTCTCCACGAGCCGTTAATCACCTGCAACTCTTCTGATCTTGTGAGTGTCTTCTTGTTTTCTGCTATATAGTAAGTAACTAATAAAAAATATCTTTTATCACTACAAAAAAATCTCGTGTCCCATAAAGATTTTTGATAAATAAAATATTTAGATCCTATCTCCTTTACTTGCTATCGATTATTAACTTGATTCAAGCAATTAATATCCAATATTAAATCCTCTGCAGAGAAGCTAGATAATTAAGTATTCATATTATTTGTAATTAGATTTTGATAAAAGAGTCTCAATTCAATATGGTATAAGCTTCATCAGCGGCAATATCTAGAGTGTCAAGTCTCATCTTAACCTAAACAGCAATATTGGCGCCAAAACTTCTAAAATTATATACAACTTGTAACCTACAAATTAGGTAAGTAGTCAAAAATTTAAGTCGTCTAACAGCCTTGTGTTTGAGGATTTTGTAAAGATAAAGTTTAGTTCGGAGTTAAAAGTGAGGTTAAAAGGCCCAAAGGACTTACTTACTGCGTACTTGACGCGGCCGGGACTTTATGTAAAAATATATATAACTAGGAAATAATACAAAAGATATTGAAGTTTCAGATAAATGAATTTTGTAACTAAACAGTCTGATTTATTGAATTACGTGGCGATATAAAACAAGTTAAACATATAAACTGCTCGCAATGTCCTTTCGCCTTTTCTCTTGAGTCAAAGAAATGTGTGTACGACCGTGGCATACACAATGTGCATGTAAAACCAAACGAAAGAAGTAGAACTTTATTTTAACACACACCATATTAAACTTTAACTTGTAGGAATAGAGTCAAAATTGACCAGATGGAAGCATTCAAAGTTAGGTCTTTCCTTTGCTTGGTGCGAGGGAACCGGCGCACCGCGTTTAACGTCATCAGTCGCTCACTGATCCGCGTAGAGGGTGCACGCATTTTTCCCGCGCCCCGTACTATTTAATCAGAATAACAAACATTAATAGTTTAATCCATTATCAATTGAAGAACGGTGTTAAATATACAATTTGTGTAATATACCGTGTAATTTGATCGTCAGTGTGTGTTAATTTTATCACGAGGATTTTATATTTATATGTAAGTACACAGTTTAGGTATACCTATATTGATTTTTCTTGTGGTACGTGACAGGATACATATTCCGTTACTATTCTAAATTACTTTCACCCCTGTGGGGTTCACTATTTGAGTTTTAGACGAAGTTTTTGTGAGTAAAATTAAGTATTTTCGTTCAGTTAGTTAAGAAAGCACGTTGTCGGCGATTCCGTTACTTATGTGTTCTTTTGAACTTGTCGAACTGCTTATAATATAGTCAGTCAGCCGTTTCTTCTCTGTGCTACCAATGTATCTATTTTATATTCATATGAAATCAGTTTACCATAGGAAAACATCAAATCTTTCTCTCACTAAGCATACCAACTTTTCGGCAGCATTTTCCAACGTAAAATTTGCCGATCGTACTGTAAATATCAGAAACTAATCCAGACTCCTTGCATTACTCACAATTTCAATGCCTAATAGAAAACCCACTTGTTTTTAGGTTTCAATTTAAACCAAAACAAGAAATTCTTGTTGAGCAGTTGTTTTATGTCAGATAATGACGTGATTAATGGTCGGACTGTTTACACTATGGGGATCACTGGTAGGTAGTGACTAACTTGCGGTTACTGTGGTCTCAATACTACTAACTAGGCTGCAAAGGAATATCAATTACGGAACTTATTTGTTTTAAAATGCCCTCAATGTGAAGTTTGGTTTAAAAACTCTTAATATTTGGTGGAGACCCATAACATAACATCACACCTTTTATCCCCGAAGGAGAAGGCAGAGGGTATATTATGCCGCTGTACAATGTACACCAACTTTTCACTATTTATGTTATGAGTCCCATGTAATAGGAGGTGAGCCTATTGCCATAAACCGGGCACAATTCCATACTCCGTGCTTACTACACTTAAAAAAAAACAGTTATAGTCCAGGGAGACATAGATGGTTAATATGTGTTGCTGTGCTTACTTCTTCGGTTAAAATGTATGGCGGGGGCACTACCGTGCCCCCAGATTGATGGACATATACTAAGGCAAGTTTTCCAATAGTTTAAACCTCATATATACAAAAAGATTCAGAGCTGCCTTGGATTTTGCTTAACCTGAGACTTCGCGAGCAATCGCTATCCACGCTCATAAAGATCGTTAGCTCAATCTAAGTGGCACTTGAAATTTTGCCACCATTTGAACCACAATATGGATATGTCAATCATTAAAGGAGGCCCTAAATATCCTATTTTCGTCCCTTCAACACTTTAAAACAATGTTTTCGTAGCATTATGGTGCAAACCCATTGACTCACTGTCCTAAATACCGAATTAATGGTGTCTACCTATTTTTGAATGGCTGAATTACGCAATCCCCTTTGCTTTCGTATCCGGGAACAAAAAATATACAGCACAGTTTATAATCTGTGGCATGTTTTAAGTCAAAACCCTTTTGTTATGATAGATGCAAGTAAACTGTTCTCAGTCGTAAAATCCCTTCAAGTTATGGAAGTGTCAAGTGTATTTGTCTCTGACTTGGTAGGGGGTCCTTCCTCTTCTTCAAATGACACTTCCTGATTCAAAAGATCTTTCATTTAGGCGTTATGTTTAACAGAAGAATTCTTTCTAAATCTCCAACTATTTTGCGTTTACTGCCTCATCTATAAGCAATTGACTTGACTTTAAATAAATGTTATAAGCTAATAGTAAAACAATCCTTTGTTGATATTTACTCCAAGGAAATTTATAAATGTGAGACAGTAATATTATTCGTGTGTCTATAGAATGTAAAAATTCAACAACTGTAAAGGAAGTAAATGTATACAACATGGCGTCTACGAATGGAAGAAGACGGAAACTGTGCTATATGCTAATTATATTGCATTTGAAACATCTAAACAATCCTTTTTACAGTCAATTCGTAAACTATATTTTTATGCCTCTTAGCTAAGGATGACATAAAATGCAAAGATCGTATTTGCATCGCCATATTATATGTTGTGAGTAACAAAAGGCTTATCTCCTAAAAAGAAAAAAAACTTAAACGATTATAAATCTAAGAAGATACAAAATAATTTTCAACAAATAATGATCAATAAGGACATACTTAGATAAAATTATTAAAAAAGAAGAGATATAATCGATTTGAACTAGTTTGTATGCCTAAATGACTTAAGAAGTTAAAGTTGGTACTTCGATCGTAAATTTGGCGACAATGGTTTAAAAATGTTCTATAGAAATAGAGGATACAGATGGAATAAGCGTATTATTGTTTGGATATACCTAAAACAATAGCAAGGAATGATTATGATTGTCTTTAGCGAAAGCTAACTGCACATAATCGTATGACTAGTTACGCTACACAACACTTCAACTACGATGTACTTAAACACTCCATAACACTAGAATTCTTACCAAATTATGGAGATTCGAAGCGTTACCAAGGGGCAAATTACAAAGCAATTTAAATGAGACATTAGTCATGATCACGACTTCAATTCGAACACAAATTCGTCATCAAACTTGAATATATCAGCTTCAAGTAAATGACTCATGTAATGAAGTACGTATATATTACGAAACCTAATTTGTGATATCGACAACATTACATTCGTCTACAGTCCTCTATGCCAGGGGTTCCCAAAGTGGGTGCCGTAAACATACGTAAAAATTGCTATCGGCGTCTGCCGACACATATTCGTGGTGGGTTTAAAGATAAAATATGGATAAAGTTGACAAACCATTCTATCAATTTAAACATTTTTTTTTTTAATAATAACTAGCCACCCGTCCTGGCTTCGGGCGGGTGCAATATGCATGTTATTACGATACACATAAACATTCCTTAAAAATCACTCTATCTATTAAAAAACGCATCAAAATCCGTTGCGTAGTTTTAAAGATCTAAGCATACATAGGAACAGACAGACGGCGGAGAACGACTGTGTTTTATAGTTACTATGTAGTATGCTGCAATTGTGTTTTCTTGTGTTCCTAATACCTAGTCATCGGGCCTGCGGACGGCGAGCATGAGTGGCTCCCCGTCCGACCAGAAACAGACCCGAGCGTACGGCGCGTCGCGTTCCGCGCGCGCCTCAAAGAGCCATCAGACCACCACAGATGGGGCCCAATAGGGCCGATGCCGATTCGGAGTCGCGGAGAACCTAACGGGTAGCCGGGGCTCCGGCTCGCCGTGCAGGAGAAGGAACGGGGTGGTTTTTAGTCAGTAAGAGTCTGACACTCCCTCCCACCTCACCCAGGCGGGAGCAGTTATTCGATGATTTTTCCCCTTAAAAAAAAAACCTAGTCATCACTTTATGGATTGATGATTCACTAATATTTTTTCGCACAACAAATGTGTTTTGGTAAAAAAAAAATTGGGAACCTCTGCGTCCATTTCTGTTATGCAAACATGTTGTGCAGTTTCTCAGATATTGTAAAATAGTCCTGATGACCACAGGGCTTGTGTCATCCTTATTTGCATATTACATATTTGTGTCAATTGTTTCTGCTGTTATTTTCCTTAGTGTCTCGTCTGCTATTGAATTGTCTGTAAATATATGATGTGTGTATCATAAAACATCACTTAAGTTGAAAGGAAAGTTTATAGTAAAACTATTTATGGTATTAATATTTATTTATCTTAGACAATAAACTAGAAGATTATAAGGAAAACATATCTTATTGAACCCACTCTCATTTATAGAAGAACTTCACATCAATTTGATGTTCAGCTCATAATCAGTGCAGACTGATGGCAGATATAAAATAGAAATATAGCTGATAGTTATGGAACCTACATCATGCAATGTGATTACGTATTAAAAAGAATCGAAATTAAGAAAAAGACATGTAGATCTTTATCAGCTCCTAAATTTCACTATACTAAAAGACGGCCTGTGAAAATTCTTCAAGATTCAGTTGCGTCTAAAACCAAAAGGGATTACGGTCTATGCTTCGTTACAATTTACTTTCCGAAGCATAAAATGAATGGTTTACGTTTACAAGACCTAAATGGTCCTGGCAATGGTTCACACAATAGTGTATTATAAAATTTGTGCACGCATAAGGCGCCAGCGCACCAACAAACAATGGCATAGTATGTGTGACGTATTCTCATGAACCATTGTTCACAACAGACTTACTGGCACTAAAGTACATAACACCAACTCAAAAATTAACCTTAAATCATTGATCTTACGGTTAATTGTTGTATGGTAAGACTACGTGGATTTGTTACCTTGTATTGTTGAGTTACATGTGTTGGAATTGTTATCATTTTTCTTGTTGAATGTGCAAATTGTGATAGAGGTGGAAATATGACCCTTAAGTCTCAGGTCATACGGTTGCTAGTTAGGACTATTGTGTACCTAATGTACTTTACAATATAATACTAACCTATACATCATTATATACTTTTTATTGAGTACATCTATCATCTGTTTAAATAAGTCAACGTCATTTATACACTTACCGCCATACTGAGATATTTCATGGTTACTTACTCGCCAGTTCTAAGCAATTGTTTTCGAAACGAAATCGTTAATAAGGAATAGTTTATTAGTACGGTAGTTACATAGATATATTAAACTTTAATGCAGTTTTCCAACGTCGCAATGCAAATTATAAGTGTAAGAGACCTATGCTTCGCCACGAATAAGCCGGCTTGACCGGAGTGATACCACGGCCTCACAGAAAACCAACGTGAAGCAACGCTTTTTTTTTAAGGGGGGAAAATCATCGAATGGCTGTTCCCGCCTGGGTGAGGAGGGAGGGAGTGTCAGACTCTTACTGACTAAAAACCACCCTGTTCCTTCTCCTGCACGTCGAGCCGGAGCTCCGGTTACCCGTTAGGTTCTCCGCGACGCAACGCTTGTGTTGTGTTTCGTCGTGTGAGTGAGGTTACCGGAGGCCCAATTATCTTCCACTTCTTTTTCAATTTCACCAATCCCTGAATCCCCAATAATCCTCAAATTCCTAATTCCCATAAGGCCAAAAACACACTTGTAATTCTTCTGGTAGTCCAGGTGTCGAGCGGCGCCGA